GGATCAAAACTGGTCATACACTCTGGTCATCACAATTTGCTCACTCAGTAGGCTGATTAATTTCAATTTTTTGATTTGGAACTTTAGGATTCAAAACTCAATAATTCTTTAATACATGTTGGACAGGAGCTAATTGTTCTTATTCTTAGGATCAATATATATTATTATTTTATTATTATTATATTATATTAGTTATTATTGCTGCGATTATTATTCTTATCATTTACGAAATTTTGATATAATAAATTTGAAAAATTTCCAAAGAGTTGTAAGCAAAAGAAACATGATCCGGCTCAGCCCCAAGCCACGTCCTTTTCTGCTTTTTCCCTTCGCGCCTTTAAAAGAAGATTGTCTGCTAAACAGTCGCAAACGCTCTTGACACTGTTATACATCTCAGTAAGCATGCTCAAATTCATAAATGAACAGTGTTTAGAACTCCGGCTTTCCTAGTAGAATTCCATCATTTTCAAACTGCTTTTATGAGATTTTTTAAATGTTGCTGAATCTTCAAGAAGTTTGCTATGTGTGGAGCCTCAGTTCATTACAGTAGCCATAATATGGTAACAGAGAGGCTTAGAGTGGAAAGGAGGTGGAATTAGCAAAAAATAACCTTTTTCTTTAGAGTAAGAACTGTGTAACAACAATATATATGTCCTTAAGTTATTATAGTTTGGTGTGTGATTTATTCGTTAACCTTTTATAGAAAATACAACACATGAACTATGGCTTATATAGTTGTGTAGTCGTATATGCATCGTAATGCATTTACAGCATCCAAATGAATAAACTAATCTAAACCTCATCTCACAAAACGCATGATCAAAAGATTCGAAGGGTAAGGATTTTATGGAGCGTCACCTAAATAATTTGAAAGCTTACGATAATGAGTTTAGAACAATTGGGGAGTGATTTTACAGGCCGTAATTGAATGTTTAGGAGCAAAGCAAGTGAAGCTGTTACAAGATAATGCATAGGTGATTTATGTTTTGAAAATTTCCTCTTAATATGATTTCTGACACAAATAGAACCAATGAAGCTTTGTATCGAACTTGTCTTTTGTTATATGCAAAGTGATGGTGAGTAAAGAGCAGAAAATAGAGGAGAAGCTTGGATAAAATATCCGCTAGAAGTCATTCTTGACCTGCATTTCAAAGAATGATGTCAAGAGGAATGTTACAAAACAGTTTCTCCAAGCGAGCGGTTTCTTAACAATGAGCATGCGTCAACTTTATCACTGATAATCTTTCGTTAATCATTTGCTCCGTCTATGACGCGCTCTTGAGTAGAATATACCTAGTAATGTTTCTGTACTCCTATATCTCATTGACAAAAAATATTCTTGTGTCGCGAATTAAAATTTTGCTTAAATCGAATTTTAGTACTTTAGCAATAAGGTAGCATTTTCGCTAATACAACTATAAATGAAGTTATGAATCCTAAACTTACACGAACTTCAAAGAAGATAGTGTCAGTGATGTCTCCTAATGGCATGATTATAATTAATTATTGATTACCGAATTCGCCCAATGAAAGTATGGAGATTAAACCTACGATCAATTTCGTATTTGTCCTTGAAACGATTCACAGCAAGCATGAATTTAGCTCTGAGTTCAGCATCATGGCCGGATTCTAGGGCTTGGAAAAGAAAAGCCCCGGCAATGAGATAAATGGTGACAATTACAGACACGATGATTACGGTACGACCGTCCACCACGTCGGGGGTCATCTGCCGCATAGTAACGTGATTTTGAATCAAGAATCTACAAGATAAAAAGGAAAAAACACAAATTTATTGAGGGAAAGAATTTGGCATGGATGGAAGTATTGTAATCAAAGGATTATTTCTTTAGAAACTCATGAAGGACTCAATGGATATGACTTAAGATCAACTGGAAAAGTGAAAACGAAGGATTTTTTCGCTTTTACAGTTGTGGAATTGGTCCAGGAGGAGAAAGTTCGTCTATGAATGTCAGACAGAAACATTGTTGATCAAACAAACACCCTTATCAGCGCCAGATAGCAATTTTTGAGGAGGTTACCGTGTTGTGCAAGGTGTATACGCAAAGATCAATAGAAGATAACTACGATGTTATAATTGTGAATCTTTGACAACAAAAAGAAAAGCTGCCTTCCTAACCGATTTAGTGCGAAAATACGAGAAGAGTGGTTGAAATGGTTTTATATTACGGCAGCATTGTATTTCTGGGGGAGAGGGAAATGCGA